GGATGGATGGATGGATGGATGGATGGATGGATGGATGGATGGATGGATGGATGGATGGATGGATGGATGGACGGACGGACGAAACAGAACGATGATGGATGGATGGATGGATGTTTTTTTAAACAAAAGTCCCCTCTTTCTCAGTTATCACAATAGTCCCCTGTCTGTGACACTGGACTGTATGTGTGTGTGTTTGTAGGTGTGGGGTGTGTGTGTGTTTCTTGCTTTGCTGCTGCACTCACTGTAATTTCCCAGCTTGGGATCAACAAAGTATATTCGATCTGAATCCAATCCAACTTCAGGGGACTTCCTGAACATTTTTTGTCAGCGTTCCTTGTCTCTTAGGATCTTTGTTTATAGAATGATTTTTATGTGTCATGATTTAGTCATACATTCATAGCTCCTAATTCCTCTTGTTTGTTTCTGTGTATGAGTCACATTTAAATTGCACTGCTGAAATTAATTAATCGACTAATATCAGGTAAATAACAATTATCTGCATGCTTGAAATGTTAATAAAAGCAGCCTGTCCTTCCAAACTCAGCGCTGAAATGCTATACTCCATTATAAGACAGACAATTTCACTTCGTTAATATTTCCTATTTTTCATGCAATAATAAATGATACTTTCTTAATAAGAAATTAATATACATACATACTTATTTTAGTATAATCATCTTATTATAAGTATTTATTAAGATTCTGTTTAATTAGATTTGCTACCATTATGTTACCCTAATATACTTTTATTTTTTTCCTCATGTACAGTTATATAATTTGCCCTGCAACCAAAATGTGCAATATAAATGAGCCTGCTTTACCTTCTATAAAACCCATAAAATGTAGAGTGTTAAAATGAGAACTGGTGGATAGGCTCTGTGTATGCACCTTGAAGCGCCATCTCTCCGGTTCTTTTCCCTGAAAAGAGATCACTCGGGACAAACTCTAAATAACGCTTCATAACTTAAATGTATTAAATAACCAGGAGGCGTGACTACAGATTGTGAAATAAATTGTAATCTTACTCAGATCAGAGAAGTTGCTTAGAATGTGCAGAAGGCAGCTGCTTACCTCTCAGGAAGTGGCCCCGATTAACAGTTAAAAAGGCATTTTATACATCTGCAGTCTGCCACATCATCTTATTTCACATCATATATGTTAGCAGATGATTAGATATCAATGACTCCAGCCTTATCAAAATATTACACTTTTTTTTTAGCTGAAGGATACCGCTCTCTTTTCATTCCTAAATCTTTGCCACGTATAAAATGAAGATTATAACTGTATATCCAGACAGAGGAACTGTCTTAATTAGATTAAAACATTAGTTCTGAATATGCAACAGGCAGACAAAACTAAGGTGTAAGTGGGGTTTACCAGGAGCAATGACCTTTATTTTAATATGCTTTTGGTTCCAGGCCCAATCAAGGTTTTCCAGGGTTGGTTGCCTGCTTTGCCAAATTCGGCCAGCAGGTGTCCCCAGAGTTCAGCTTACTGTGTTCACATTCTAACGTTGTGATGTATTACATATGGTTGTATAAAAGCACATCATTATTTAAAACTTAGAATGATCTAATTTGAAAAATAGATCAGATTATCCAAAACAATAGTTAATACTCTCTTTTATGGGCTGTAGGAGTAGAACATAATTTGAGGATAAAATAAGACAACATAATTAGGGGACAGCTGCAATTACTCTGCACCCTGTCAACAAACTAGTTAAATATTATCTCCCGCTCCGCTGCTGTCCCATGACCGGAGAGAAAAGGCGTGTTTTCCCCCTGCTTGTCTCAGTATATAAAGCAGGCTCCAGCAGGGGCCCCACCACCCATCATCCTCTAACTGTTAGTGTTGATCACAGCTGACAGACAGTGGCCCTCTGAGGGACACCCACACACAGAAGGAAACTTTACGTAAGTGTCACTATTTTATAACTTTATTGGTTGTTTTTCTTTTTTGTGTCGTCACTTTGAATTATGCAAGAGCAACTAAGAAGATTAACATACCAGGTTGGGTCAAAACTACCAACTTCTCATGTTGTCTACAGCAAATTATAAGAAGTATTAGTTGTTTATTATTTATGAATATTTGTTTATCAGTATAATTTTATTAAATTCTTTCTTTATTCATCTAAATTTGATATGAAACATGCATATCATAGTCTAAGGGAATTCAGATCCAAATGTGCAGCTGCTGGATGAGAGAAAGTAAAAATATAGGCCTCACTTGTATTGGTATATTATATTATATAGGCCTCACTTATATTATATTGGTATATTACACTTTATAGGCTTCACATTCACTGATATAAAAATGTCTGGGTCAGAGACGCATCAGAAATCTTCTGTTTGAGTTGCTTCTACATTAAATTCCTATCAATTTCTTCGATATGGCACCATAAACAAATATTCAGTGTTAGCCATTTGACAGAGCTTTATCATCAATGTGCTTAAAAAACACTGAAAAGTGTGTCTACAAAAAGGAATAGCAAAACAAAACAGATTTGTTTATGTATTTACTGCTTAATTTGTTGACTAAATCCCAGGCTTCAAATGTTGAACTATGAAATTACTCTTTTTGAATCTATAACCCTGTTATGAGTTTAAACATGCAATATTTATTTCTGCTAAACTTGGATATGGATGCACCCAAAGTTGAAATGCTCTGAGGTTTTTCAGAGTTTGGTTTCCCAATGGGGTCTCATCTTCGTATGCATAATAATTTGGTCTTTGTTTACATATTTATATTTCTGGCAATTTAAAGTGGACCTTTTTTCATTTTTTGTTGTATTTCAAATGTATTTATGTACATGCCTCCTAATAAATAGGTATGGTGAAGCTTTATTTTTTACACAATAAAGTTGATCGGTATAGCAAGATGTGACAGCCATCTTTGAGTAAACAAAATGTGAGCTTTCTTCCTTTATTTTTATTGATTAATGTTTTTTTCTTCCCTTTTTTTGGCAAATTAGACACCTTGGGGTTGTTAGGATTAGGCACTGTTATATTTTGCACAAAAATGCTCCTTTAAGTACGTTCGACTTCTGGATTTGGAGTTTTTATTATTGTTTTTATCAGATCAGGTGCTTGATTAGCAGGTGCTCATTTCTATATATTTTTGGGGAAAAAATAACCTTTATTAAATGTAATAAAACTTAGAGCTCCAGTTATTTTCGGCCTGTAACGCATTCTCAAACGTGTGCTTTGGTGCAGTTCTTTGAACTTTACTAAATATAATGTGTGATGCACATTATTAGAAGTAGATTTGTAATTCCGAAAATGGAGTGAAATATGCTGATGAAGATAAATGTGTAATGTAATTCAAATCTGCTACCATATTTTTCTGTTTGTTTTTTTTTTGTTTGTTTTTTCCCATAACAGTGTTTAAAAAAAAAATTTTAACTGGCAGGTCAGACCAAACAGATCACCAGAAATGTGTATCAGTCAGGACAGACCAATTGATGCGTCTCTAATTCTGTTGTTTCTGCGCTGCGCTCTGCTTGCTCTGACACACTCTAATGTAATGTTGTTTTTAAGGTCTCCTACATTTATCTTTCTTTTTTTTTAAAGGGCAAAATTAACTTCCCCCTGCCATAATTGAGTAAATCACGCATGCTGAGCTAAATGATGCGTGTCACTTGTTTTTTGTTGGGTTGTTTGTTCTTGTTAATGTGTAACTCAGCCTGGTGTTTGCTTGTCAATGGGACAGCGCCCACTAACTCGTCTATTTATGTGTCCCCGCAGCGTGAATCATCTGAGGATCAAAATGGACTCTTCTCCCATTTCCATTCAGGGTCATTATATAATGAGCCTCACAGAGAAACCCTGCATACCCAGCTAGCAATAGGTTTATTCAATTATCAGCTAATAGGTTTGTGTGTTCTGAACCTTAGTGGTTAATTTGTATTGTTTATTACCACGTACTACCTCAGAGGTTGCTATCAAACAACGAATAAGGTGGTGTGTTGTTGTTTTTTTAGTAGAATAACATTGAAAGTACTGATGGATACTGCTACACTAGCAACGCTGGCTGCTGCCACCACTGCAGCTATGGCCTCCCAATCAGACATGTCGGGTTACCTTTGGCTTTTGGTGACCGGATTCATCATCGCCTTCATCCTGGCCTTCTCCGTCGGAGCCAATGATGTCGCCAACTCGTTTGGTACAGCGGTGGGCTCTGGAGTGGTCACCCTGCGGCAGGCCTGCATCCTGGCCACCATCTTTGAAACGGTGGGCTCAGTGTTGCTGGGGGCAAAGGTCAGTGAGACTATCCGAAAGGGGATCATCGACGTGCAAATGTACAACGGCTCAGAACAAGTGCTGATGGCGGGATCGATAAGCGCCATGTGTGGTAAGTATTCAGACGGATTTTATTTTTTAAGTGAGTCTTTTTAGGCTGTGAACAAAAGTTCAGTTGATGTTTTTGTATCACAGGCTCTGCTGTGTGGCAGCTGGCTGCATCGTTCCTGAAGCTCCCCATCTCTGGAACCCACTGCATTGTTGGAGCCACAATTGGCTTTTCATTGGTAGCCAGAGGCCATCAAGGGGTCAAATGGATGGAACTACTACGCATTGGTAAATAAACTCTATCTTCCAAGCATTCCAACAAAGATAGAAGCCAGACATGGGCAATGTGGAGTCAACAAGTCATCTCCATGTCATGTATTTAATCTACCCAGCCAATTAACCAGGTGAGTCCAATCTGCACAGGTTAATTCACGGTGAAGATTGGACTCGCCTGCTTCAGTGGCTGGGTAGAACAAATACATGACATGGAGATGACTTGTTGACTCCAGATTGCCCATGTCTGATAGAAGCGCAGGGATGAGTTAGTAATTAGATTGTATGTGAAATGTTCTGTTTGAAGTGGCCTCCTGGTTCCTGTCGCCCGTTCTGTCTGGAATCATGTCGGGAATCCTCTTCTATTTCGTCCGCAAATTCATCCTAAACAAGGTAAGTGATTTGAAAAAGTAAATTAACAAACTTTACTTTTGTGAAAAGATTTTTTTTTTTAATTTAAACTGTATTTAACCAGGAAATAAATCACATTGAGATTAAAAAAGTCCTGCCCAAGAGGCAGCAAAGTTAGATAATAAACAGAAATATATTAAATTAAATGATTGGTACATAAAAAATATATCAAGTAAAACAATTACAGATAATTGAGGCTGCTTCAAGTTCTTTCACTTTTAACTTGAAAGCATTTAAAGATAAAAACTCAGTCAACTTCCAGTTTCTTTGTAAAAAAAATTACACGCACAAGGAGCTGCGTAGCTAAAGGCTTTTAAATTACAGCTTTTAAATGGTGAATTTTATCAAAAGTTTCTTATGTGGTTGGTATTTAATCATTTTTTTACATGATGAAATCCTTTATACAGATTCAGAGTACATGATTGAGCATCATTACTCTGATACTGCAACACATTTACATTTTTCTTGGCAGTACATCCTTAATTACTAAAGCTACTAAGTGCTCCTACTCTGGCAGTCATTTTTGAAATACAGGTTACATAGATTTATGTATCTGTTCTAATCCATTGACTGTGGATAAAGAATGGGATTTTTAAATTCCACTTAAAAAAAAAGTAAATAATGAGGTCCCCTCAGGCCAGGAGTGGTCAAATAACAATTTTGTTGGCAAAAAAAAATCCAAAATGTTGACTTTAAAAGGTAGTTATATCCGCTTAACTGGCGTTAAGCTTTAATTTGCACAATTTATTTGTGTATCATTAGATAGTTATCTCCATTTGCAAACATGGTTTGATCATGGTAAAGGAGACATAACCTGGTATTTTTATAGACATATGAAGTGACTTTTGTTGCATTATTGTTGCAAGCAAAGAACATCTTTAGTGAATGGAAATTTGTAAAAAAAAAAAAAAAAAAACGGAAATGAAACTAAAAAACTTCTTAAAAAAAAAAAGAATAAAATTTTGAGAATAGCCTTGCCGTTTTGTTAAATTCTTTTTTTTTATTATTTAAATTTTATCATTCATAAAACCTGATCCTGGCTTGCAACAATAATGGACCAACATTCACTCCATATGCAATTCTCCCAAAATTCTCTTTAAATTTGTCTTCAATCATTTTTAGGAAAAAAAATAAATAAAAACTGCTCATTCAAATCCCTTTTCATTCTCCTTTTTTTTCTCGCGAGGGTACGCACAAAAGTTTGACTTGTATGTGTGCACGTTCATGTGGATGTGTTGTTAGCAACGTTAGCAGTTAGTCATGGTTCGTTTATCATTGATTCCACAGTAGGTCAATAGTTAAACAAGCAGAAACACACCGACTGCCTGCAGGTGAATCCCTAAAGGATAGAGTCGCCCCTTTATTTGGAACAGAGATGAGGGTGAGACAGGCTAGTATTAGTCCCCCACACACTTCCTTCCTTTACTGATATAAATCAAGGGGGAGGACCCAAATATAAATTAAATGTTCTTGCTCTAACATGAAAAAGTCAGATTTCCAGGTGATGACTCATTTAAAGTGTATGAACTTACTAACAGTATAATACATGTCAGTTATTACAACAATGTCCACATTTTGCTAGTTTTACAATTTTGCAAATGGATTCAAGTACAAACACACTTTTTTTGTTGAAAGTACCGCCTTAAAATACTAAAGTTTCTTAGTGCCAACATAATGGCAGTCTTTTTAAAACATAAAAACACTAATTAGACTTAAGTCTGTTGTGTTTTTCACTAATGTCCACAAACAAAATATGTTCCCATCCATTGACCCTGCATCTTTGGTTGTTGTTCTACTTTTTTCTCCAATGTTGACAGTTTAAACTTCTGCTTTAAATAAGTGAATGTTTAGATCCACTTAAGCCACCCAACTTTTTTACAACAACTTTATCTTGTTCCTGTAAAGGGCTGTGTATACTCCTGCAGCAGTGTGTCGCAGTGAACTTGTTGAAGGTACGACGCAGATATTTTTGATTTATGCCAAACTTTGAAGCGTGGTCTGCACTATGTTAGTGCACGCAACAACACAAGAGAGACAATCACAAACTAGCTAGGATTGTGGGTGTTGGTTTGAGGTGCTTGTTCGCCATCTGACGACACACAGTTCACCAATGAGTGTTCCCGAAACATTGGCCGTGGCGCTGTGTGTTTTGGCTTTAGGTGCAAACCAACAGGCTGTCGCATAGAGCTACAAACTAGCGTCCTGCATGGTGTCTAGGATAGTGTCTGAGGTGTGCCAGGCGTTCTGTACGACACTTCAGCCAGTGTTTCTGCCATTAAGGAACCAAACAGGAAATACGCATAATTTAGAGCAGATGTATATTTGACCAATCAGAGACCTCCTGTCTGTGGCACTGTCTGTGGTCACCTACAATTTTGGGGAGGTGTCTGGGGAAGGCGGGGTATATCTGCGTTAACTGCGACACACACACAGATGGTCTGTTTCTTAGCATAAAGCAGGCTTAACTGGAGTAAGCTAAACTGCATTTCGTTGCCTTGTACCTGTACCTGTGTAATGACAATAAAGTTGAATCTAATCTAATCTAAGGTAAAGGTGGATTTAAGGTCTCTACCACAACCAATCAACTTCAATCTAATTTACGATCCGGAATTTCGCTCAGTTGTTTTGAAGACATTTCGACACCTATCCAGGAGTCTTTTTCAGTACTGTTGGCTCACACCAGATCAGTCTCTAGTTGGGGTGCTTATGTTTTTAAGTAGCATGGAGGTTCATCCTCCTGCACACATTCCAAGTCAGATGCTAATAAAATAGCCACCCCTTGTTCTTCTGGATTGTTGGAGCCTTTTGTTTTGCATAGGCTGTTATTGGCCTTTTGAATCATAATGGGAGCGCTGATGTAATTTCTTTCAGATGAGTTCCATGACTGAATTTTAAATGCTGTCAAGCTGAAACCTCAATCATCCCCCTCTGTTCAGTTATGGCTTTCTTGGCCCCTCTTTCAAACCATCTGTCCTCAGTGTCCAAAATCTGAACATTTTGGTCTTTAAAGGTGTTTCCTTTCTTCTTGAGGTGGAAGTGTACAGCTGAATCTTGCCGAGAGCTACTGGCTCTCCTATGCTGTGCCATGCGTTTGTGAAAGTTCGGTTGATTTCCAATTGACTAAGATTTTATAGATGCATTCTCTGTCTCATTTGTTTACATGATCATGAGAGAAAAAAAAAACCTTTTGGCTAGGTTGACATCACTAAGATCTAAGATTTAGAATGCTCTGATATACGTATATGCACCTTATCAGAGTACATTCTAATCTAAAAGCCAAGAAGAAAACAAGAAACAAACTTTTCAGTAACAAAATTTTACTTTGATTTTTCACTCAACTGAATGTACTAAAAGTTTTCATGCCCATTTCCTTTTAAGAAAATGATTAAGTCCCAAACAATCCAGAAAAGTCTCTTTTCCACAGTCTAACCCCGTTCCAAACGGTCTGAGAGCCCTTCCTGTCTTCTATGCTATCACTATGGGCATCAACCTCTTCTCCATCATGTTCACAGGAGCTCCACGTGAGTATCACATTGACACAACAAACCAGAGGATTTTACTAAAACTATAAAAATAAACATGAGCTGAAGAAAATCTCATGTATAGCTGATAATTAAGGCAAACAATGAGAATAAATTAGATGGATGACATTAAAATTTGCTAATAAATAGATCTTTAGACAAGTCTAACTAAGTCTAAGTCTAAGTGAAGGCTGCGCTCCGCGGTGGGGATGGGTGTATAATTACTCCCCATGTTTTCACATGTTACGTAGAGGGTTGATGCAGTTATCTTTTAGAAATTTGGAAGTTCTGTTTCATTTTTCTGACCTAAAAATGAGGTTATCTGCCTGCAAGCCTATGGTTAACGCCGTCTGAGGCCACCCGGCTTAGTGTGAAAGAAAGAGATATGTTACACCCATAATGTTTGTCCAGCTTGTTTATAATCTAGACCCCAAAAAGCAAAAAATATATATATATATATATATATATAAAAGAATAAACTTATTTACTTCACTTTCAAACAGCAAAAATACCCTCCACATGAGTTTTCTAAATAAGAAACTGACAGCAACCCTTTTATCACTATGCTGCAAGACTGGCCTCTTCCTTAGTATCAGATTAGAGAAGCGTGCTCTTTGACTGATACAGTTGTCCTGAAACAGAAAGCCCATCTGACAGTGGAGGAGCAGACCTTTAAGAAAACTTTTAGCGTTTATACGAGTTACATGACTAACTGGTCACACAGGAAGGAGAAGATTATATGACATCCTTCTGCTAAAGTGATTGCAGCAGTAGCAGGGTTTGGTTCATAAATGCTATATTTCTATTTCAGGGCATAAAATCCTAAAAGGAAATAGGGGAAAATGTTCTGTTTGTGCTCATTTTGAGAGTGTTTTTTCTAAGCATGTCCCCTTTTTCTGTTAGTGCTTGGCTTCGACAGGGTGCCATGGTGGGGCACACTATGCATCGCAGTGGGCTGTGCCGTCATCACAGCGCTGGTTGTTTGGTTTGTGGTCTGTCCACGCCTCAAGAAGAAAATTGAACGTAAGTATCTGGAACAGTTTCAGTAACCCAAGGCAAACAAAATGGAACATAAAACTAAACTACTGAGTAGAATCTAGAGTTTCTTGTGAAAATAATCATATCCACTCAACTTTCTCACATTTTGCCCACATTGCAACTCAAAACCCTTATTTTATTTTACTATTAATGTATCTATACACCAACACAACCTAGCACAAAGCTATTTAATAAAAAGAAAAAGATGCATGGTATTTAAATTTAGTAAAATAAATCTAAATCATGCATTTAATCCAGTACCTTTCAAAGCCCCCCTATCAGGGAATTGCCTTTTAATATCAGTATAAATTCACTTTTATGTGTGAAGGCTGCAGTTTTTGTTTTTTTTAGTAAAACAACAGAGTCATTGAACACATTAGAGAGCTCTTCTTAATCCTGGAAAGAGGACATAACCACTAGATTTGCTGAAAGACTGGGCTAAGAGAGAATTAGAAGAGATGCAGAGATTCCTGTCTTGGGTGGGGGAATCTGGTAGTTTTGTTGCTATTAGGAAACAGAGGAAACATGGATGAAGATGCTCCTGCTGGATGAGAATAATGATACACTTTACTATGTTTGGCACTAAGTTGATTTATTCTACTGTCAGGCATTATAGTAAGTGATCATTTTCAATGTCAAAGCATTTAAGAATATTGCAAGAAAAATTGCAAAAGTTTTACTTTCTAGATGTGTGAAGATTTTGGAGAAATGCCTCATACTACTGTACAGCTGCACTTATTCAAAGTATGCACACCTTTGTGTTGGTCAATTGCATAAAATCTCATAAATCATTAACAATATGATTTATGGGAAAGGGAATTTGTTTGTTCAGCTTTGGAGCAGCATTTGTTTGGTGTTGATGACATACTCTATAAATGAAGCAGTAAATTCTACTTCAATATAACTCTCTGCTAGACAATAACAAAGTTGTTTGATTTTTTTGATGTCATATATCTCAGGTGAAACAGCTGCTGCTCCCTGTGAGACTCCATTAATGGAGAGGAACTCCAGTAAACCTCCAGCAGAACAACCCCAAACCCCACCTGACCTGCAGAACCCTCCAGAAAGTCAGAAGGTGGCCTTTAAACTCGGAGGTTCTGAGGAGGCTGATCTAAACAGCGAGATAGATGCCAAAGATCTTGAAATTTCTAATGGTGAGAAATGATTTATCTGGTGCTCGAAATGATAAAAGCTTTTAACAAATATATGAATGTCTAATAACACTATAAGTGGCACTGATTGAGCTGTAAACCAAAGAAAATTAAAAGTGAGATTTTTCCCACAGGTCTGAATGGCTCTGTGGGCCATATGACAATCACCGATCCCCACAGTGGACGCTCCCACACCATCCACAAGGACTCTGGCCTTTACAAAGACCTGCTGCATAAGCTCCACAAGGCCAAGGTAGGGGACTGCATCGGTGACAGCGACACAGAGGAGCGGCCCATGCGGAGGAACAACAGCTACACATCCTACACCATGGCTATATACGGTATCCAAGGTGATCCTAAATACAAAGATGTGGAAGGAGGCCTTCAGAGACGACCTCGCGTGGACAGTTACAGCAGCTACAACTCGGCAATGACCAGTGGTAGTTCTGTCCCGGATGGGAGCGTGACTCAGGAGGCAGTCGGGGCCTCTGCTGTGGAGGAAGACGAGCTGGAGATTGATCAACCTACTGTTTCTTTGCTTTTCCAATTTTTGCAGATTCTCACCGCTTGCTTTGGCTCCTTTGCTCATGGGGGAAATGACGTCAGGTAGGCATTTTATTCTCAGCACTGTACTGATATATTATCTTTTTTATGATTTACATTTCATTCCTATCTCTAGCAATGCTATTGGCCCACTAGTGGCGCTTTGGCTTCTCTATGAGAGCGGGTCTGTGGTGTCGAACGCTCCCACGCCCATTTGGTTGCTCCTGTACGGTGGAGTAGGAATCTGTGCTGGACTTTGGGTTTGGGGTCGTAGGGTGATCCAGACCATGGGCAAAGACCTGACCCCCATTACACCATCGAGGTATGCTTCACAGCTAAAGTCATTCTTAGCAGAAGTGATGATTTATCAGGTTGTAAAACTAAAATGAACTTCTCCTTTTTTCCTGTAGTGGATTTAGCATCGAGCTGGCTTCAGCTGTCACAGTTGTTGTTGCATCTAATATTGGTCTTCCTGTCAGCACGACACATTGCAAGGTAATAAAGCTAAAATCTCTGAGGTTTTATCACAAAAAGATAAAGAGATCAGCTCTGAGCATGTTATATTAGGGATAACTACGTCAGTGATATTACTTAGCCTTGCAAACGTGTTAATACTTCTTGATTTTTTTCTTTATATTATTATGGAGGGTGACCCGTGCCGTGGTTCAATAAATGAATACCTTATGAAATATTTCTTTATATGCATCATTCATTTATTGAGGGGAGTGGTGGCCTAGTTTTTAGGGCATTGCACTTGGATCCCAGAGGTTCCGAGTTCAAGCCCCACATCCATGGACTGCAACTCTGGGTCCCTGAGCAAGACCCTTAACCAAAGACTGCTCCCCGGGTGCCGCACAATGGAAGCCCACTGCTCTGCAAGGGGATGGCTTAAATGCAGAGTTCATTTTGATGCTTTGTACTTGTGACAGTGTAACAACAATAAAGTTGAATTCTATTCTTTTCATTCTGTAACTGTACATAAATACAGAATTGAATGAATAAATATATAACTAATAATATGGATCCCAGTTGAATATAGTGATTTTTTTTTTAAAGTAAATATTATTTTACGAATTGTTTCATGAATCAATAAATTCATTTTCCTGCATTTTCCTGAAGCACATTATGAATTAATTTAAACTGTCACACATCCATCAAATCCAAGGAGGCAGGACTAGAGCAACTCTCACAAACCCTGACGTCTGATTGGCTGTTTCTCACTCAGCCTCTAATTGTAGTCTTGTGGTAAACTCTTATAGAAGACACGTGAATTATACTATTATGGTGCGTCCTTCCAATCGCTTCGTTCCTAAACTCAATTCTGCTTCGGGTAATTTGTAAATTACTCGCTCTCGTTATGTTATTATGTTTCATGCAAATGCACTTTTGGTGTATTTCAACAAAAAAGTATCTCTACTTGAACTGAGAGCATTGGTGAATTTTAGGTCTTGATTTAAAAGCTGATTTATGTCTGGACTTTGATTTGGCCATTCTAACCCAAGTATTCTTTGATATAAACAGTTTTATTTGAACTCTTACTATGTGTTCTGGGTGTGTCCTGCTTGGATGGGAGCCCCCATTTATTTTCTTCTCTTCTCAAAAAGGTTTTCTTCTTTAAAAAAAAATACGTTTATCTTTAATAAATGTATCTATCTTCGTACTGACCCTAATCTGCTTGCCTGTTTTTAATGGAAAAAGAAAAATATCCCCACAGTATAATACTGCCAACATCATGTCTTATGCTTATTTGACCTTTAAATGCAGCCAGATGAGCTGAATGTTATTTAAGGGACTCAGATCAAATTCAGTTCTGTTCAAAAATTGAGGTTCAGATTTTTTAAAAAGGAAAGAAAAAAATATTTTCCTTATGTTTCATAACCTTTTGTTGCTCCATCACATCAAAATCAAAGAATTTATATCCAGTATCTCTCTCATGCACACAGGTGGGATCGGTGGTGGCTGTGGGATGGCTGCGCTCCCGGAAATCAGTTGACTGGCTTCTGTTCAGGAATATCTTCATCGCCTGGTTCGTCACTGTTCCCATCTCTGGCCTCATCAGTGCTGCCATTATGGCCCTCTTCATATATGTTATTCTGTGATTCCCACTCCACTTTATCATATTGTTTTCCAACAACTTGTTAAAAACCTTGTTAAAAACTGTCCCATGTTGTCCCTACTAGTGATTGATGTTTCATTCAGCGTAATTTCATTTTAAGTCAATGATTGAACTCATAGGAATGTTTTCAAGGATGGCAGATTCTAGTAACAATGTTCAAATGTCCAAATGACTGTGATCATGTACAGTATATCCTCCTGTATATTTGTATAAAGACAGTTTGCATTATTCAAATCATCCTGAAAAAAAAAAGTGTGCAGAGGTTAATACCTTGAATGGAACTGATATTATTGGGAATATTTAAATGAACCTGAGAAAGGATTTCAAAGTATGTATGTCAGGATTTTTGCAAAGAAACTATTGACTTTTTTAATGTAGTTGTATGAGGTTTGCTTTTGTGTGTTTATTATAGTTTTTACACATATGTATAGATGTTTTTTCTGCACTTGTATTCGTTTGATATCATTTCAAATAAAAGTTGAATATGTGACTTTACAATTCAACTAACTTTTGACCTTTTTCTTACTCTCCCACACGGTGATGCAAACAAATTACTACTGTAATGACTCACAAATGCTTTGATAAAAGGATTTCCTGCTTTTCCTGTTATGCATCATTGCTCACATGCAGTTCATTCACACTGACCAAACAAAGGCCCCTAAACTCTGTTTCATTATCAGCGTCGCATATGAGTAAAAGCTGGATTTGGTTTTATAGTTGCATGACCTGCCTTTCTGGCTGGCCTTAACCTAACAATGACCTTATATGCTTTATTATTCTTATTTACTTTCTGTAAATAGTTCAATCAAACTAAATGATGTGAAATCAAACTCAAAAATAGAAATACAAAAATCTGGAACAACATCGGAAAAGACATAATGTAATCCTCAGCCACTTGTATTCACCTGGTTTTTGATATTATCTAGATAATGACTGTCCTCCAAACTTAGACCAGGTTCAGGCGTGGGTGGTGTTTAAACTTTTAGCCGCAGCCGGTGGTTAAATATGGAATATTTTCAGCTGTTTCTTATTGAATAGCAGGGGTGTTAAAATGATGCTGACGATGTACCAATAACTTTTTCTCCCACACTGTAAAATAAACAAGTGTTACTTTAAAACATACAGAGTAGAATATAACTCTTTTTCAGATAACATTTGGTTCCATGCAATTAATGTCAAATTTACTCTATAACCAGTGTCAAACTTTAAGAAATATTTGTACTAATTTTATTAACTGGCAGGTATTCAAAACCATTCAGATTAAAATGCATGGCTGTCATCTTTCTCTAATTGCTATTAACTCCAAAACTTGAGCAGATTGACGCTCATTATAGATGTAAATACTGAATGATTGACTGAATTTTTAATACCTTATTTTTGATGTTGTGTATACTACTCTCCATTTATGTTAGAGCGACAGTTATGGCAGCTCACTTATCTCCCCATTCGTGTTTTACATTGAACTTGGCCTGGATTACATAAAAAAAAAAAGAAATCTGCATGTGTATCTGTCTAGGAATACACAGTGATGTAAATGTTAGCAATGCTGCTTTGCAACGAAATGGTCAAGATGGAGGCTTTATCTCCAGGTACCGTGACTTCATCCTATACAGGTTAGGTTGAGTTTGTTGGCGGTTGTTTTTTGTGTGCTTCTGTTGTTGACCATATGATGGACTGGTGGTCTGTCCAGGGTGTGGACCCCGAAAACAACTGGAGATAGGTACCAGCCCAACCATGACTCTGCATGGATAAGAGAGGAAGATTGTTTTAGATAGCAGGCTGGAAATGTTGCTTCTTTAGAAACCACTCATTAGAACAGCTTGGTTTCCTCCTGTTTATAAAGAAGAGGGGTTGTGCAGGGATCTTGACGCAGAAGTGAAAAATAATGCATAAAATGGAAATGGAGTAAATTTCAGGTCCCAATTTATAAATGTATTCACTTTTTAAAGAAATACATTTGTTCTTTCTGTAGATGTTTTCTCATTGCTTTGATCCTGGATCCAAAGGTAGACATATCTTAATAAATAGTATTTAATGGTATGTTCTCTCAAATATGGTGATGTTTCCTTAAACAATGACCTCTGGCTCTATGCTTGAGACTCCTGCCAAGGCTTAAAATGTTTGGACTAAAAAGTCGGAAGAACATTGTCAAATAACCCATTTTGATGTGTTTTTAAACCCTAATCATCCTAAATGAGATATATTTTTAGGCATTTTTCTCTTAAATTGCAGCAATGTCAGTACAAAAACTTACAAATTTATTTGACATTAATTTACAAAGTTCCACAGCAGAAAAACACAACCCAAAAGCTGTGGCTTTAGATGTTGTTTTGTTTAAATAATAAATACTATAGTTAGTTTTTTAAGCTTATGTTTCTGCCCCATTCTGTCTCTTTTTCGTTTTTTCTTTCTTTCTCTGTTCTCGCGATATCTCAGTAACTTAAATTATATTAAACAAACCAAATCCAAGACAAGTTGTGGCATCAATCATATATTAGTTTGCTTTTTACGTGCGCTGTCCACTGACACAATTATTCCACGCGGTGGCGCTGTTTTCTAACGTTAACGTTTGTTTTTGTGGACAAAAGAAAGAATATGTTTCAGCTCACTGATCCATTCATGTAACCAAGCAACACACTGGAGTTTTCCTCACAATATGAAGCCAAAGAGTGGCCATTTACAATAACGGCAGGTTGAAATAAATAATCAATAAATAAGTAAATTAAATAAAATAAATCAATTTATTCACAGATCTTTCAGAACAATACAAAGACACTCCTTTCAGAATTTAACACTAAAAATTAGGTTAAAACACATTCATCTTTGTAAATAACAACTTTATAACAATATGATAATTATATATTTCAAATATTTTCAAAACAACAATAAGGGATGTTTCTCATGTGTAACTAAAGAATATTCAGACTGTTTATGAGCTAAATCAGTGTTACTGTTAGTCTACATTTAACACATAATTTTAATAGGAAATAATGCCTCAACATAGCTCTGCAGGGGATTGAAGTTACTGCTGTAATGGCAGCTGAGAAATAATATATATATATATATATATATATATATATATATATGTATTTCTATGCCAGCAGCTGGTTTTAGTGGATTTGCAATACACTGGGATGTGTTGCAGTGGTTAGGTTTATCTGCAATTCCATAAAGATACAGGAAGGGTTTCAGCTGAATGTTAATTCAGTGTTTATTATTTGAAAAATACTATCAGTCATTCATGATTCTGCTTTTAAATCTAATATATCTTTTTTTTTTTTTTTAAAACCTCAAACGATGTATCCAGCAGTGTTTTTAACGGCAATTATTAAAATAAATCAGATCATTTCTTCTGAAAATTCAAAATCTCCTGTTTATATATATTTAAGCACCAATAACTCGCAGATGAAACAGAATAAACATGAACTGGCTTTCTTATAGTTAATCATATTTAAGATCTGAAGTGACTAATTGCATTTAGACGCCACCTGAGGATTGTATCTTTTTACATAATTGTGTTTAATAAAAAAAAAGGCCAACTACACATTACTGCATACAGATCAACAGCATTCAAATTAGTATCAATAAAAACAGTTTATGTACCATATAGATGTGAAAGTTTACCATTAGATTGGAATAGTCAGAGCAAAAGGAGAATTTCATTTAAGAATTTTATGTAGCAAAATATTCCAAGCTGCAAAACAAAAATAATGATAATAATAAGACAAAATGAAAACAACAATTCTAGCAATACTGGTAGTTAACATGGTGTTTGTTCTTTTTTTTTTTTGGTTATATCAAACTGGTGTGGTTTCTACCAGGAGGATTTCTGTTTTGTTGCAAATTAGCTTCAAGAAGTTAGAGGTGAACCAGTCTTTAATTTCAGCCAGGCAGGAGAAGACCTGAGTCTGTTTTCATCAGAAGGCCGTTTGTTTTTACGGGCAGAAACTGGATTGGATTTGTTCAGAAAGATTATTATAAGTTAGAAGATGGAGGGAGAGAAGATGGGAGGAAACAATTTTCTCAAGTATTTAGAAATAACAGGCAGATGGTCCAGAGGTTACTGTAGTTGAGATGATTATTTATTTTTCTGTTTTCATTATTAATTTGAGAGACTGGATAGGTTAAAGCTTGAATTCAATTCAAAATTACTTTATTAATCCCAAAAAGAAATTAAATGGTTGTGTTTTACCATTAACAGATCTAAAATTAAAAAAGATAAAAGCCTCACAATAAGATAAAAAAGACCATAAAGGCAGATGGGGAAGAACAAAACATAAATGCGTTTGACTTTATTTATTAAGGGAAAATGCATATAAATGTACATAAAAATATGCCAGATTATAGCCCATGGCTCATTTCCAGCTGTATTCCCTTCAGCAGGTTAGGTAAACAACATAAAAAAATAATATCAATAAAAGAACAGTGACAACAATTAAAACAGTAAGCCACCATGGCTATGAGCAGCATAAACAGATGGAGCAATTAAATAGAAAAAAATAAAATTAAAAGCAATAAACAATGAAAAATATAGTGGATTGGTACTACATACAGGGCAAAAGGCTTAACGAATGATACATATTTCACTATCGTTAGGAAGCTAAGGCTTGTGTTTGGACCCTCCCACCCTGATACTTTCAACAGTTCTGATATTGATTTTTTTAGAACAAGTGAATCTATTTTTAGAACAATTTCTAGAGAACAGAATAAGGTTATGGTCAGACAGACCTGTCGTATTGAATCTCTTTTCAATTCTCACACACTTGTTAGAAAAAACAAGATCTATGTATGTTTTAGAGGAGGAAATTGGTCTAGTTGGCCTTTAATTAATTAAGTAAAGTTAAAATTTGTAATAGTGGTTTTAACTGTCTCCAAACTGATTTGTCTAATAATATTAAAGTCTCCAAGCAAGATAACTTCTTTTTTCGCATCACATTCCAGAAGGAGAGAGAAAGAGCTATTTTAAGTAACACACAAAGGATGTTGAGTTAACAGGTTCTGTTAAAAAAAGGTGTGGTCTCTAAAATTACAGTAATATTGAACATATCAACAACCGAAAATACTTAAAAGGAGGACATTCCACCTCATCCGACCTAAGGGGAAATGTTGGCTTAGTGTGCTCTGAGAAGATTGCAAGTACCTGATTCGATCCCTACAGTCTGCCCTCTGGGTCCCTGAGCAAGACCCTCAACTCCTCACTGCTCCACAAGGGGATGGGTTAAATGCAGAGGTAAATATCTCCAGTGTGAGATCAAGTAGCCGAGTGGCGGCCTTGTGGTCAAGGCATTGTGCTTGGTATCCAGAGGTTCTGAGTTCAAGCCCTACTCCCACGGGCTGCCACTCTGGGTCCCTGAGCAAGGCCCTTAACCCCACACTGCTCCCTGTGCGCCACATAATAGCAGTCCACTGCTCCCCAAGGGGATGGGTTTCATTGCTTTGTACTTGTGACAATGTAATGGCAATACAAAGATGAATTATATTCAAAAAAGCATTTT